TGTATGCTGACTTTACCATTTCGAGAAGTCTCCTGTCTCCTGTCTACAGTCTCTTACTCTCTAGTCACCGGTTCGCGTCATCTCAAACAACCCGAAACAAGTATGATTGCTAGAGTCGGCTGTGATCGACTGATTGATGCTCTGTACTGTGTATGGAGAGGGATGGGAGAAAAGTCTGTAATAGGCTGCATCGATAATTATCGATATAGTAATAATAGTGAATGGCATGCCGATGTTTATCGATTTATCGATCTTGTGATCAGTTAGTGCTGAGAGAAGTAGACGTAGAGTTGAACTGTACTCAAAATGTATTCACATGGGTAATATGCTATTGCTCGATATATATCGATTATTTATCGATCTGTTGTTTTGACTTGTTGACCCACAGATTTGTCCAATACATGTTCCTTCTGTCCGTTACGCATGCTCCTACATAACTTGTGTATACCTCTTTATCGCTTTCCGAGAGGGTACAGGGTATAACAAGCAGACAACCAGATGCTGTGGGCCTGTTGCCTCTGTTGCCTGCCTGATGCGAAAAGCCTCAACTGAACTGAAGACGAGGCCGGGTTTTGGGAACTTGAGAATAACAAAAACATAAACAACAACAGCAACAACAAGCAACAGCAGCAGCAATAACAAGAAAGGAGAAGGTAGTACGAGTAAGTAATAAGTATGAAAAACTGCCTGGCGTTGAGTTAAGAGTTGGCAGTGTGAAATGTGTAATATGCAATGCAAATAGTCATAATTGCAGGCGGGCAGGCAGCGGCAGCAATTGTTGCTGTTGTTGCTGCCGCTGCTGCTGTTGCTGTTGCTGCTGCTGTTGTGATCATTAAGCGCAGTTGTTCACTTAACGCTTGAAGGGATAAACAAATGCACGCGCGAGAAATTCTCAAAATCAATTTACCATATGAGTACAAGTGATTTTGTTCAGTTTTTTTTTTTTCTTCATATATTTTGTTTTTGCTGCTGTTCGCTGATGATTCGCGAATGCATGTGAATGTCATTGAATGGGGAAGCGCAAGTGGACAAATGTGATTTTAGCAGAATTCATAAGAAAACCCATAAAAACTGGCTCAAAATGCCACGCACCATTGTCCTAACCAAAGACAAAACAAAACAGAGAGCAGAAGTCTTGGGCTAGTTGTAGCTGTACGTGGGGCTCATTAGACAGACGCACACAGGACTGAATGGAAGCTGTGAACAGTGTTTTGTGAATATACATATGAATGAAATGCATGGTATACTAATCCAAATAGAAGAATAAGGAATACCCTATTATAGAAAGAGAAACGAGTCTAAATTAGGTAGGTTTTAGGGGAGTTCGATCTACATATATAAAGTATGATATAAAATAATCACTATAAAGTGTGCTCAAAGATCTTATAAATCTTTAAATTATATATATATGTATATATATATATGATATAAACCGAAATGCCTGTCGATTAATCTGAAGGAAACCATATTCCTGACTTGCCTTCGCCTTGAACCCTCAGGATTTAAACCTTCTGATGTTGGTTGACTTCTAGGGTTAATTAATATGATATCGCTGCAGTTTCGATCACTCCAGAAATAGTGAGTATTACGAGCATGACTGGCCATAGGCATGGCATATGGCTGGCTGCATCTTACATACATGTAGAGCTCGAGTATCTAAGCATAATTGCGCTGCATGTCCGATTATTCCCCTATGCTACGCATGCTTGTTTGTTCGGAATGTGCATGTTTCATTGTGCACACACACACACCGACACACACGCACACACATGGGGAAGGGCGGTGGACTATGGGCTATGTGGCGGCTGCATTAACATGTATCCAAACGCATATTGGAATCATCAGCAATATGGCACGACTGCGGCTGCTTCTGTTTCGCGAGATGATTGCGAGGAGCCGAACAACGTTGGACGTTGGACGTCGAACGTCGAACGTCGAGCGCCGAACGCATGTGGCCTACGAAGCGTGCAGCATTAAACATCATTAATTTGGAATTGTTTCCAGGAAAAATTGACAACGATGGGCTTAACCGCAACAAGGAGAGCCACAATAGCAACAACAGCAACAAAGAGGCGGCAGCAAGCGAGCGAGCGAGCGAGCGAGAGAGAGAGATAGATAGATCGGCTATTGTCTACAAGCTTCCAATCAGCAAGATGTCCGCCCCCCAAATGTTCCAGCCAATGCAGTTCAGACAGTCGCTATAGAATGCTTATGATGCTGGATCCTTAAGCTGCTTGCTGCCAATTGTAAGATTATTCCAAAGTTTAGCTCTTGAATGGTCATTTGTTTAATGGGTCCCTTAATTGGGCATTGCCAGAACAATCTAGCTGAGCTGGGGGTACGCTCTTTAAGTGGGCCGCAGCAGTTGTAGTCGACGCACGTGCGACACTCGAAGCGACTCATTAGCCCCCCCACACAAAAAAAAAAAAAAACTTCCGAAAAGCCAGATTTTCCAACCAGGCGCTGGGCTTGCGTCACAGCAGACGCCACAGCAGCAGCAGCTGTGGGCCGTGCCCCTGCCCCTGCCCCTGCCCCTGCCACTGGCCCTGTTCCTGTTATCGTTCTAATAATAATACTCGCATTAGTTTCATTTTGATGCGATTAAAAACAAGGTCCAAAGTTTCAGCGCATGCCCTACCAGAAGCCCAGGGAGAGAGAGAGAGGTAGAGAAAATATGAAAAACAATCAAGAAAATATAAAAAATAAACGAATGGAAAATGCGCTCAAAGACTTAAAGACACATAGCCTAGGCAAATAAATCTATACAATATTTGGAGCCAGGGCTGATAGGCCACCCGCTCGGTTAGGGTATGCAGGCAGGGAAACTAACAGCACATTGGGATACTTGCCGTATAAGTGGTTTATGGCGATAAGCGAGTTTGCCGAGAGCACTCACCGTGCGCGCGTTTCAATTACCATTGTCAATTTTGCTGGCGGCCTCGGCGATGCCGCTGACGATGCCACTCACCGTGGGGCTGTCTGGTGGTGCATTCTGCGTAGCGGATGTCTGTCTCTCTCTCTCGCCCAGAAGGGCTAGAGTCAGAATCAGAGTCGGACTCGGAGTCAGACTCGGAGTTGGAGTGCAGCTCGTCAAGTGGCATCGCTTGCTCCAAACATGTGAGATTATTGCCATGATTGTGCCAGCCGCAAGGATTACAAAAACAAACCAACAACAGCAACAACAAAATAACACAACAAAGAATGCGCGTGTTTTCTTTGCTCTAGCCGAAAGGAAGTCTCTGACTAGCAGATACCCTCACCTACGATACATGGGTGCTCTACTTTATTTTTTCTTTTTATAAGGTATTTGAATTTTTATAGCTATGCTGGATGCAAAAGTCCAAAGATGAGGAGTAAGCGGGCCAAGAGTTAGCTTAGCTGTGGTATACATAGATATAATGTAGATAAGGTATTTCAATATTAATATTAATTCATCACGTGTTTGCTAAAAAAAAGAGGTACACATATAAGTAATGTCCACAGTCTGTTACAAAACCGCTCTAAGAACTAGCATACCCTTTAATATTACTCCATTGCCATATGTTTTGGGTAGCATACCAAAAAAAATGGAGCAGAATAAAGGAAAAACATTTGATTGGGCCCCAAGTGTTGGGCTTTATATTTTGTAGCATATATTTTGTGCTTTCTTTTTTTCAGAGGGCATTCGCTTGAAGAGTTATCAGAAACACTAATCCACACAGCTTCCGATTGCAACACCCTCTTCAACACAAGCACACACATACATACACACACACACACACACACACACGCACACACAGGACAACATGAGTTCCCGCATTCAAATGCAGCTCAAGTGAATTAGATCTAAAACGTATCCAAAATATCATTACAAATATTCAAATATTTAATGATAGTTAAAATAATTAAAATGTTTCTTAAATATTTAATTTAATTATACACATAACCCTTGCGACTTGTGATAGTCCGATTGCCCAGTGGGCTGGTGGCAGCAGCCTGCTGGCATCCTTTCACTTGAATGTCCTTAATCAGGCTCGTGTAGATTTCGGCCGTTGTTATTATTGCATTACATTAGCAGACATTAGGCATTACCTGATGCCGCTGCCCGCCGTCTGTCTGTCTGGCCCTCGATTGGTCTCGACCTCGGCGGCGACCTCGGCTCTCGGCTCTCAACGCTTAGCTCCCAGATCCCAGACCAGCCAAGGAGCATTCCGTGGCCCTGGTCGAGTTCTGTTCGGCTTGTTCCATGTTTGTTTTGAGCATCATGGCGACGGTTTTGATGTTGGGCCGCATGTAGTCAAATTGGTTTGCCTTTGTTTGGTCCACGGTCGACACACACACACACACACACACACGCACAAAATTGAAATAAAATGGGGGGGAAAAAAATAAACTGAAAAAAAAAAAGGTAAAAATTCACAAATTACTCTCATTTCGTTAAAACGGCACAAAGGCATCAGGCAGAGCGGCAGCAATAACAAAACGACATAATCATCGTCGCCGTCATCTTATCCGTGGTTAAAAAATTAATAATTTAAATTTATGGAAAACGGAAAGAGAATGAAGCGACGAAGTCATCGCCAAAACAACTTCAAAGCCGTAGTCTATTATAAAACAACATGACTCGAAGCAAACACACACACACACACACACATACACAGAGAGAGATATATACAGAGCATATGAAGCAAAGGCCATGCCGGGCCGGACATACATGAAACGCGTCTGCGTCTGGCTCTGGCTCTTACTCTGGGTCTTCGATGGTCACCGCGTTGTCTGGATGGATACACCTACATATATACAGATATATGTATATATGGGCATGGTCATTCACATAGATGTGGATTGATTTTGTCCGTGTGAATGTGCATATAGGAAGCTCTTTCAATAAAGCGCATACAGGGTGCCTATCGGTAAAACCCTAGAATGATCCTTCCAACATCTGTGCATCATCATGATAATCATAATCGCGTTCCCATGAAATTTGAGAATTAGAGCGATATTAAGCAACCATCAAAAGTGCACCCTGTATGGGCGGCGCTATAATTCATCGTATGAAAAGCGATATACAGATTACCGAAAAAGCTGATCGAACGTGTACGTACATAATTTAGAGCGTAAAATCAAAAATTTGTTCATCCGTCATTGTGTGGCGGCCCGAAACCCATTAAGGTTTTCATTCTATGTATAAATCTAATTCCATGCGCCCCACGAAGACGCCATCGACATCGACATCAGCATTGAGATCGAGATCGACTGGGCCGTCATGGCCATGACCAGAGAATGTTTTGACTTGTTGTAAGCCTTTTGTTGCCATTGGGTTAATTGTTGCTTTAAACGAAGAAATAAGTAGTTAATACCCGTAAGTACAACGGCAATTCCGATATGTTTGAACAAATTTGAAAGTCATAGCGACACATGGGTAAAAGGAACACAGAGAGTGTGAGGGAGAGAGAGAGAGAGAAAGAGAGAGCGAGAGAGAGGCGGGGCTAGAGACAGATCAATAGAGAGATATTGTAATGAAATTAATAGAAATATCTGAGATGACTTTGACAAAGTTGGCGCTGTGTATATACCCTGTAAATATGACTAAAATAGGGTATAAGCTCTATCTAAAAGCATTAGGGAGCACCTATAGAGAGAAGGAGGTCCATTGGGAGAGTTAGAGGCAGAGAGAAAGAGAGAGAGAGAGAGAGAGAGAGAAAGAGAGAGAGAAAGAAAGAGAGAGAGAGGGAGAGAGAGAGAGAGAGGGAGAGAAAGAGGGAGAAGAGAGCAATGTGAGAGATAGAAGAAAAAGTGAAACAGAGCGAGCAAAAGACAAAAAGTGAATGATAATAATAATAATAATAAGATAATAATAATAAGGTAGATAGAAGGAAGAAAGCAAGAAAAAGACAGAGAGAGAGAAGATAGAAAGGCTCTTTAAGTTAATACCGAGCGTATACCCTTTAAGTGATGAATTGAGTCATGCCAAAGTTTTCATATCTAATGCAAAATATCTTTTAGGACTATGAGCTAACTATTCAATTATTTATTAAAGTATATTACAACATATGCACTTGAGAAAAATAAAAGTCAATGCAATATTCTGATTCTGCTTTCATCAGTGATCTAGTTTGATTAATGCCGACAATGAAACAGTTTACAATCATTATCAGGGTGAAGAGTTAAATGAAACAACAGTCAGTTCCTTGCCCTCTACATTGTTGCGATCCGACTGACCTTTGATAAGAATTAAAGTCCACACACAGTGAACAAACAATAAACGGAAGGCACGATGCAAAAAAGTTGATTAATATTTTTCCAGCGAATCGCAGCTAACCAATTGTGTATCAAGCCTTATCGAGAGGCTCACGGCTCAAGTAAGTTTGTATTCTTGAATGGGCAGTTCGAAAGGCTTAAGACGCATGCATAATGGAAAATTGGGGGAGCTCTAGACTCATTTTCGGCAGAACATCATAATAAATTAACAAATAAAAGTCGAGCTACCAAATGGATTTACTATACACAATCAAATAAAGGCAAATTTGTTGCCATTCTTTTGACTTGATTCTCTCCTCAAGACGCAGACGTGCCATGGGAAGCCAAAGGGCTAACATATAAGCCCAAAGCACATACATATAAATATGTATACAGATACATATACATATACATATATGTATATATATTTATATGGATATGCTGTTCCATAGTCTCATTCACATGCTCATTCTCAGTCTTCTCATCCTTGTGATCCTCGCGTTGATTGTCGTAGATGGGTTTTTTTTCTTCCCAATTTTTTTTTTTTTTTTGCTTTTGTCTCCGGCGAATGGTACTCGCGTTTGGGCTTAGGGAATCCATTAAAATGAGTGCTTGATTTAATTTCTTTTTTGGACTTGCTGTCAAGTTATAGCTTGAGTTACGAAGATCGGCGAGAAATGGATGCGTTAACGTCAAATCCCATCGAAATATCCACAAAAACATAAACAAGATCACAAAAAAACGAGAAAAGATAAGGGGAAAAAAAATAAAACTCACATCCGTCTGCAGATCCTGTCCAGACTTGGAAAAAAGGCCACCACAAATATATTTATCGATACACAAAAAGCTGTCTTCGTGCCCTGTCGGCCTTCATAGAATGAATCTTAATGAATTTCGATTTGGAATATGCAAGAATCGGCAAGTGGGTGTTACCTTCTGGCTGTAAAGTCAAAAAATGGCATCTAAACTCCAGACAGATAGGTGGACAGCGAGCTTTTTTCGTTGCTGTTCCTGTTGTTCGTTTCTTTTATTTTCCTTTGTTGTCGCTGTTATTGTTATTGTTGGTTTTTAAGGGCAGTTCGGCCAAGGAGCCCTGGGACTGGGACACAGCACCGGACCGAACTGGACCAGAGTGGACCCCGTTTACGGGCAAGCGCCGCCGATCGATGTTGGTTCACACAGCCACAGACAAAGCGGGCAAATGAAAAAAAAAAATCAGGCAAAAAAAAAAAAAAAACGAGAGCACAAAAAGCACGCAAAGCAAGAGGATATGTCTGGGCTGTGGCTTAGGTCCATCCAGCTTCAAGTTCAGGGCGCGGCCTGTTTTGGACAAAACGAAAATGAAAACGCAGACGACAACAAAAACAAAAACAAAAGCAATACAAAATCGGAGACAGCACGCACCGTTTGCAAAGAGTTAGCCAAAAAGCGGAACGCCCGATCTAAAACGATCAGACGACGCATCAATTTGCGAGCAATTTTGGATCACAAGATTTCTTAACTCGAAAACAAAAGTCTGGCGACTTGACAAAATGCTGATGCCTGACTATAAGAAGAAGCTGAAGGCCATTTGGCTTGAGCCAATTGTGAATCATTCACCATCTTTGAACATTTGAAAATCTGCAGACTAGAAGCGATCATAAATTTTAAATAGTCTTCATTATGATACTCGTTATACCGTCAATGTATTGGAAAGCTTTGAGGATCTGCTAGCTATAGAAGATCATGAGTTTGAATTGGAATAGATGAGTCGATGAGAAATGCTTCTATACGTTTGACTCTTATAAGAAGAAGCCCAGAAATTATGAGGATTGGCAGACTAGATCATGAAATTGAAATATTAAATGAGAGATGAGATGAGCTGATATGAAATATTTCAACTAAATGTAATTCTCGTTTCATATGTAAGAAAACACAGATATGCATATGATATATTATGGATCTATAAAGATGGGCAAGCTAGAGCTGATCGTGAATTTTATGCGATAAGTTGCTGTGAAATGTTTCTACAGGTAGATGAAACAAATCTTGTTTCCTCTTAATATATTATAAATCTTTGAGAATCTGCAGACTGGAGAAGATCATGAATTCTAAATAGAATGATCTATGGTGAGTTGATGTGAAAATTGTTCTGTCTATCTATAAGTAATTTTCGTTTCTTTCTTCTATCTGGGGGCCATGATGGGGTAACAGTTTGTCCTAAATTGTCGATACGTACAAAGATCTTCACGACAGTTGTAACATTTCCATGTACACATCTGTGCTATGCGCGTTCTCTATGGGTCGTATAATATGTGTATGTGCACATTTGAAGTGTTAATGGCGCATGAGTCAACTTATTCCTTAAATCAACAAACAGATACACATACATACATACATATGTATATATGATGGAAAAAAAAAAAAACGAAAAGCGAAAAAAAAAAACATAGAAAATGAAACTTAAAGAAATGAAAAACGAAATGATCATTTGCGCTTCCTACAATCGAACAGACGAAACCAAACGCAACGAATAGAAACAAATTGTGAACCGATACGATCCGATGGGATCCGATGCGTTGCCGTGCGAACTGATCCAAATGGAATGTCTACTTTTGGGCACAAGTACCGACTACCGAAAATACCTTTTAAGTGTCTTGTATTTGTTTACTTCTGGCTAAATGTTTACCCAAGTTAGAAATAAAAAAAATTTGTAGTACGCATTAAAGTCTTGGACCGCTATTTTTCACGTGGCATAAACCAAATAGAACGCTTCATCTTCAGCTGGCACATGCGGCCGGCTAGTGCCACAGCTAGGCCCCCAACTCACCGTGGTGTGGGAGGGGGGCCGAGGTGATTAGATCAGATTTTGAGGAGCTGCTGCTAACATGCAGAGGAATGAGCATGACCAGATAGCTTTTCACACTGCCTGCATTGCTAGTCTACACCTAGCTATGATTATACAACATTCCCCATGCCCCATGCCCATGCCACTGCTCATACCAATGCCCAATTTCATAATTTCACATTGAGCTCCAGAATTGGAGTTAAGGAAGTTGTTTTTGGGCAAAAGAGGATCAATTTAATGGAGCTTTGCTTTCGCGGATAAGTTCGAGGAGGCTTGAATTTCTCATATAACCAGGAAAAGATCTCTTTTAGGTTCCATTGGAGTATCAACGTGAGGCTTAGTTAGAGGATCTGTTTGACGATCGGTGAGGATCTGTCTGAGAATCTGTTTTGGGGATGGGTTTCATCATCTATCTGAGAATCTGTTCCTTTGACTATCAATTTGAGAATCTATTTGTTGGATTTGTTTTGGGGGAAGGGTTTCAGGATCTATCGCATTAAAATGCAATTGGGGATATTTTTTGGAACGTGTTTCAGAACTGCTTGGAGATGTGCTTGAAGATGGGTTTGAGGATCTGCTTTGGGATGTGCTGGAGAAATTTCTTGGGGTTCTATTTGGTAATCTGAGGATAAGTTTGAAGAGCCGTTTGGAGACAATCGAACTGAAATCTTTACATAGGCAATGAGTTGTATCTGTTTGAGGGTTTTGTTTTAAGACGCTTGAAATTTTCGGCTAAACAATGATTTTAGTGTTCTCTGCTTCTTTATGGCAACGTAGCAATGAATTAGCCCGAGTTATTTGTGTGTGTGTTTTTCTTTCATTTGAAATAGGATTTCGTGCTTCTGTGGAAGCTGTTTCTGGGGACGGCAGTGGAGCAGGGGTGGCCAGGCGCAAATATAAACATATTGGAACAAACAGACAGATACAATTGCGTATTGTATTTGTTGTATGTATAATTAAATTTCATTGGCAATGACTTGAGGTGAAATCTGTTGTTCATAGTGGGGTGTTTGTGTGCCAGGGGTCGTCCATGTGTGTGTGTGTGTGAGTGTGATTTGGTCGGGGTACATACTACGTATTTTGTGGCGTTTGGTTGGGTTAGAATTTTGTTTGCTTTTTCATTATTGTTATTAGAGCACATTTTTCATCGTAATTTCTTTCACGCGAAATAGTAAAAAAAATCTCGACTACTAAAAAGTTCCCCCATACCGTGTGTGTGTGCCCAAGTCTTCTACTTGTACCTACATTTAGCTCGTGCTTCTTCTTGCCGCCCAGATGATTCGACTTTGTCGGTCACTAACGTGGCTCCAGCTGCCTCTGGCTTGTTGTTCTTGGTGTGCTTTGGTGAGTGTGCGGCATTTGGTTGCAACGGCCCATTAAAAAGATTGGTCGGGTTCGCGGCTGATCGCCTCCATGATTCCCGGATTTGCACCTTGTGCCACTTCGACCTCGACCATTTATAATTGTAATTCAAGTTTTGCCATTTACGATCCAATATTAATAATCACTATAAAGCCATAAAGGCCAAAATGGCAATAATTAGTGCAGATCTCGAGCAAGTTGAATGCGGAAAATTTATTAGTAATTTGTTGCTGCCATATGTACATATATAATGAATAGAAATACATATGTATATACATGTGTGTGTGTGTGTGTAGGTACACAATATATACAGAAGACAGAAGTAGCAGCAGCAGCAGCAGCAGCAACATCAGAATACTTAATTGTTAAGTATCAACAAAATATAAATCTAAGATGCAAAGCAAGAGGAGCGATTAAATTATTTGAAATACCCACAAACTCGCATCGCAAATGTTGCCCCGAAACAAAAGCAAAATAGACAAAAAACATTCGAAAACCAAAATGTATACAAAAAGTTAGAAATTACCATTAATATAGGGCAACGCGCCGACAGAAACCAAGTGCGAATGATGTGCAACAGATGGCCCCCGCCCGAATTCTTGTTGCCGTTCGCTGCTACCAAAGCGATCCAAAGCTGCCAACGCTGATGCTGATGGCGACGACCAAACTGGCGACGGTATTAGACGACGCCAATGGCGTACACTGGAAAAAAAACTAGAATTAACTTGATGCAAATGAAGCGAAAAGCACGAGATTCCAGAAAGTGTTGCAATAGATCCAATGCATAAACTTTCCTTTCGAGTAACTCTCAGCAGAGAGCAAAGTTTTGTGGCGACATTCGTAAACGTAAATGAAACCTGGATTGAGAGATGTTTTATTATAATATAGGGGATGGTTGAGTTAGATAAATTGTATAGATATATTATATCTACATGGAGAGAAAATACCATAAATATAGCTACTTAATGCTTCCTTTTCATAGAATATCTATATCTATATATATCCATATATATTGCTCATGGCATGAACTGAAAGGTGAGTTGCTGGATTGTTGCGTTGAGTGGAGCGCGCATACATAGTACTCGCATAGGGTAGAACATTTGAATGTTTGGATTTGGCTGTGGCTGCGGCTGTGGCTGTGGCAGCGCCTCGTTCATGTCGATGGCAGCGGCGTCAAAGTCAGCAACGGAATCGAATCCGAAATCGGCGTCGAATCCGGCCAGCACTTAGACACTTGAGTTGTCCAAAATAAAATGAAGAGCAGAAACAACAGCAACAACAACAGCAACAACAACAACAACAAGTGCATGTGTGGAGAAATGGATCAGGACTGTTTCATCTTGAGGCGTTCAAAGCACAGCAGGTTGTCTCCAGCATCAGCATCAGCAGCCCACAGCCCACGGCCCACGGCCCACAATCCGCATCCAAATCGAAATGATGATATAAACATTCGCTGGCGTTTTGCTGTTTGTACTCGCTTGCAGCAATAGACAAATAAACGTGAATTGGAGTTTCAAAGTGCATTCGCATGCCACAGCCAGAGAGCATGGAATGCCTGATGGAAATCGACAAACTAAACTAAGAGCAAACAGAGCGTGATCTGATGCAGGCTACAGAGAAATACGACTTTGCAATTGTATTGTAGAGCGAGCAGATGAATCATTTTGAATGGCAGTTAATGAATGATTAGTTCATGAATTTAGTCAACACTCACAACAAGTATATCCAAAATGTAAATTGTATTTCAGGATTTGGTAAATGATGTTCGATGCCGCAGGACCTGAACTGAATTAGCTTTCAGGACTTGGGATCATCGGCTTCAGCATGCCGAAGATCTTTGAGAAAATCAGGCCAGGACATGCAGGACTAACTAAGAATTTAATTATATTTCAAATAATGTATTATGATAGCACAGTTCGTCTCCAGTTAAGACCATATACTGCCTTATGGTTCCATCCCAGTTGCCCACTTAGCCGTTTGCCCGCTTGCTCTCCGGCTGCTAGCTTAAATTAGTGGGTCACTTAGGCACATTATCTATCGAAGCCAGCAACGATTAGCTGTTACATACTACTACACACATACATATACATATACATATGTATGTATGCTAAGTTTTTGCAGCCATTTTCATCAAGGGGGTAACATTGTGCACGGTAGTTAGGAAATACAATAAAAATGACGTTGTTCCGCATAGACCACTCCTTCAATTATCTTTCACTGATTTATGGCACGACCCTCCCACGGAAAGTGGTGCCAAGCCTAAACGGAGACAGGCCATTCTAGCCAGCTGTATGTACGTACGGCATTCACCCCTAGACCGATACGAACACGCCCTACTGGCTGCGGTGCACGCGAATTGCGACCCGTAATGCAGACGCGACGGCAACGAATATGACAGCAGGCGAAATGAAAACTTTTAACAGTTCGAGGGGAAAATACATAGAGAGAGAGAGAGAGAGAGAGAGGGAGATGGAGGGCAATAAATTGAAGTAAATTTGAATGGGTGACGAATGCTACGTAAGACAGACTAGAGCAGGAGCTAATTGGACCAGGACATATACCCCATAGATCAGTCGATAAATACTGAAGTGTCACCACATGCTCATATATCATATTTTATGGCTTCCATATATCCATCTCTATTTTACTCCAAGTCGTGACAATTTCTCTACCTCGCAACAATTATCTATGAATTATACGAGGAAAACTTTGTATATGGGAAAAAAAAGAAAACAAAAACAATAGCTAGACAAATGATCAATCAAAACAATGGTTGTATCAACTGGATTTGGTTTTCCGATTTGTTTTCTTGTCACGCTGCGATCCTGCGATCGTTGATTATCTAAAATGGCCGCGGCTCATCCCTAAGCTAGAGCCGAGAAACGGTAATTAATTACTCTCGCTCTCCGCTCCATGTTGTACATGTGTTGCATTTGGATGCGGTAATTGCCTCTTGTGGCACTAATTTTTCCGCGGTTCTCATAGATGGACGCCGTGACAGCCATAACCAGCTATGAAAATGCCGTTGCCGTTGCCCAATGCCCAATGCCGATGCTGATCTTTGGGGCGGCCCTTTGCTCGACTCGACTGATCGGCTTTAGCTTCGGCTTCGGCTTCAGTTTCAGCTTCAGCTTCAGCTTCGAGCCGAGCTCTGGCTCTAATAATTTGTACACAGAGCTGGGGCTGGGTCAACAAATTGAGTTGATTGATCGCAGTAGAAAGCAGTATGAAAAGCAGCGGTAACAAGCGGTAATCACAAATAGTTTCCACTGATTTTGAGTTATGGGAAATTTTAAATATCTCAAACGAAATTACGGTCCAAATGCCATTAACAATGTTTTGGCCATGACTAAAAACCCACCATACCACACCACAAACACACACACACACACACACACACACACGCACAGAAATGAAGAGCAAGAGCAACAATCAAAGATTACGACTATTTCGTTTCCTATGGGCATCATTTCGTATGCTAACAGAGCGAACCAACTGAATAGTTTATGCTGGATGCTGTGCATAGTTGGCAACCAACAAAATAGGCGGGTGCTCTCGCACCACTCGTACACTCGTTTCGGACAGGCCATTAAATGTAATGACAAAATATGAAGTGTTCTCCCCCAACCGAAAGCCGTATACCCGGCTAAGTGAGCAACCATATCATTTCGATATTCCATCTTTCGTTTTCGCTCTCTCTCTCTCTCTCTCACTCTTACTCTATCTCTATCTCACTCTTTCTCTTAAGAGATGATGATGATGACCATGGGGCAGGGACACTCATTTGTTATCGCCATCCACGCTGCATAGCTGAATTTGTCAAAGTCGCCGACTCGGGAATACCTTGTAATAATCATAATTAATGACTGCGCTCTGATTTTGCGGGAATTCACCCCAAAAATTCCATCCGTACATATGCATTGATTTTATTATTTATAATTAAGAAACGGAAACACTAGAGAGTTTGCTTAGGGCCATATGTAGTATTTCTATTCATATGAAATGTTTATCGATCTGATAACTAGAATGTCCTGATACGTTGGATTGGTTTCTGAAACTTTTCTAGACTTAGCCTTCATCAAATTTTTTGAAGTTTAAGCCTTTGACACGTTTAACTTATTTTTGTAGTAGATATATAAGCCTAGTATAGCATAATAATCAAATATACCTTAGTTCGTTTTAGTTAATTTAATCATATTATTGACTCTTATTTGTTAAAGAGATCAGCTCATATGAAGATAATATAATTTCGGGCTCGGCCTTTGATTTCCCATCTTCTCGTTCTTTCAAATTGATTTGACTTTTGCCAATTTGAATGTCCTGTAAATGGATTGATTATAAAACAATATACTTGATGCTTCAAGTAGTTCTTAAAATCGATTTATATGTCTAGACTTTGCTTGGGCATAATAAAATATCACTTAGTATACTTTCACTACATGTTAGTTATATAATTTTTGACTAGCCATTTGTATGACTGTGCTGACTCTTCTTAAAATAAATAATTTGAATGTCCTCTAGATGGATTGATTTTTAATAAACTTTTCCTTTTCCCTTAAAGCCGTCAATAGAATTCTACCCTAGACTAATATCATAATGAAATACCAGTTAATACTCTCAACTCTCGCTAGATATGATATGAGGTCTAAGCCTCTTGGCTAAAAGTCAAATCGAATTGAAACATGTGTAAGCCCGTGAATAACACCTGCTTCATCCTTGTCGCATCTCTCATACTTAACATGTTCTGTATCTCAATCTGGCTGCAAGAAGTGGCTGAAGAGGCGTAAGTAAGTGCATGACTGACCGATTTTGAGTCGGGCCCCGACCCATATCCAGGCGAGGCATCTTCTGGAAGCCATCTGATGTTGAGCACTCAACGTTTTGTCGCCTTATTTTCCAAATTCACTGTGACGTCGGGCTTAAAAATGGGTTTTAATTATTTTGTCACTTGCTTATCGACGCCCGGCATCGACAAATCTTGACAATAACATGACATGGAACAATTTGTTCCATTGCCGCGATTGTGACAAATTATTGACAACAATATCAGGCAGCGGCAATGGCAACGGCAACGGCAGCGGCAGTTGCCGTCGCTTTAGACCTGGCCCAAACCCAAACCCATACACATACCCATACCCATACCCAAACTCAAAACAGAAAAGCCAAAACCCATGACCGAGCTCAAAACAAGGCAGCGACAGAACGCTGGCGCCAGTTACCAGTACCGACTGCGAAGACTGGGACAAAGACCGGGACTTCGTACCGTGTATGAGTATGAGCCATCAATCTCAATCTAGTAATGACGACGCCGAAGCGCCAGAGTGCCAGATTGGCAGACACACGGCGCTCGAATCAAAAATCAGTGACTGGCCACTGTCACGGACAAACACACACACACTCACACACACACACACACATAGGCGAAGAGTCATGTGTAGAGATGTAACCACTGTATTGATTCCCAAGCCGATTTAGCCACAGTTTCAATTCCAGCCAAAGAACTCCAGACTCAACCTCAACCTCAGCTTCGGGTTTTGGTATTGGTATTGGTTTTGGTTTTGGTTTTGGTTGCGGCGGCTTCAAGTAAAAGCTACTGTACGCAAAAGGCGTACATGATTCTTTATATAATTATTACGTTTTGCTCCATCGACAAGAAAAAAGTGCTCGCTCATAGTGCGCATAGGAGGATAAATGACGAACCCTGACACAATGGCACTGGCACCGTGCCACTGGCCCTGCTGGTTACTTCTGCTGGCCAGGCCAGGGCGAGCCCAGGCCCAGCCATCGACTGTACGCCAAATGTAGAAAGTTGAAAATGCCGATGACTTTGGACTAATCTCAGAAATGACGGGAAAATGTCAGTCACTATCACAGATCAAGCGTAGAAAAAATCATTAATTTAAATTGTGACCATCTACTCGACCTGACGCGGCCTCCAATATATATGGCCCAGAACACATCGACAATCAACATCCACAGCATCGACACCGACATCGACATCGACTACGACTTCGACAAGAGGAAAAGCAAAAGCAAAGCCATAAGCAAAGGCCAAGCAGCCGCTGATTGCCATATTGCTCAAGTCAAATTGGCCGCTGAGGTTGTGGTCTACAGCACAGACAGAGACAGCACTAGACACTTCAGTTAGAAAGAGAGG